TGTTTTGGTTCTTTTTTCAATAGACGCCTCATAATTCTTTTCTTTTATGTAGGTCAGACATTCTGGAGTTCTCTTTCTTTTTTTGTAGGAATGCTGACCTTTGGTGACTTGGACGATTGCAGATACTATATGGGGTTTTGTTTCCAATCTTTTTTTTTGTTCTTTTAGGTTATTTGACTCCAAATGAACCTGAACTTATAGATAATTTTGGTTGCAATAGATGGTTTTAATAAGGAGGGAATTTTCATAATGTATTTGTACTTTGTTATTTTTTATTTTTTATTTAATTTAATAAAGTAAAATTAGATTTATGTAAATACAATTATAGTAAACTGTAATACAAATAGTAAATTCAGTGACCAAATCGTATAAATTCCGTGATAAAATCAGTGATCAAATCATGTAAATTCCATATAAATCCCGTGCAAATTCCGTATCCAAACCATATTTTTAGTGATACGGAATTGTGCATTTTTCCGTATCCTATTATGATACGTTATTTCTAAGGAAAAAAAATCGTATAAAAACTTTATAAAAAACGTATCCAATTTTTTTATAGGGCATGTGATTAGAATCACGTTAAATTGTCAGTTTATTGATCTTTCTTGATTTGAGTTGGTGGATCAAAGAGAAAATGCACTCTATGCCAACAGTCTGGACATAATTCTCACACTTGTCAATTAAATATTGAACATCAATTGAGAGTGTACTCTTAAAATCTACTTAGAACAAAAAACTATATATATAATGAAAATATCATTTTTAAATTTTATATAAAAACTTATAATTAAATTTAAACTTGGTTTGATTATTATTCAGTCATGGAGTAATAGTTAGAATGGATTTACTTTATTTATTAGGATTAGTTGCTTTGAAAAATTAATGTTGAAAAGCATACTATTTTTATATAAACTTCTGAAAATTCATAAGCAATATATACTAAAACAATATGTGGGTGACATGTGATAAGAAATTTCTTTCATTCCTTATTATTATTATTATAAGTTATGGAGATAATACAAAATTTCTTAGAGTCAAAGGTGTTGCAAATAAAGGTTATTTTCTTTAAATCAAATTAATATTACAATTATTACAAAATTTTTTTAGATAATTATCATGGTTGCTAAAAAAAATTTAATAAACTAATTAAAAATTTATGCGAATTTCTTCTTTATTTTAATTTTAATAATCGTACTTTAAATTTAAGAAAATTCATACAAATTTTCTTCTTTTAAACTTCTAATATGACGTAAATAATTAGGTATATGATCTGCCAAAAGTCTGATTAAGAATTTCAATCTGTTAAAAGATGTTTATTATCGAGATTTTCTATCTCCAAGGCAATGAAATCCCAGTTAAAGTAGTGTCTCCGTAATTCTCTGCCCGGGCTTTGACCACTTCATCCCAGAAGCTAAATATTGTCTGCTCCTTTGACTGGTGAAGTGGGTTCGTGCTGGAGTCGTTAAATACCTTATTACAAAGAATCAATTATTTAAAATATGATATTTCATATTACTTGTAGTAGGACACCCATAAAATTTAAAGAATAAAATTTAAGTTTATTTATAAAATTTACAAAATTTTCTATGTTAAAACCCTAATATTAAAAATCTTCCAATTCTTCTACAAATTTTAATTTAGAATCAATAATTAAATCACGATATTTTTGAATTTTAATATTATATAACTCAAATTCCTTCACTTCAGCTTTCAATGAAAACAAATCAGTAGTGTAATAATAGCCAAATATTTGACTCTTTTCTTTTTCATAATATATTCTTTTATATAGGATAATATAAGATCATTAGTATTATCACAACCTTCCTTATCTTTACTTCCCCTATTATTGATTAACAATTTTTTAATAAAAGTATTCTGAGAATTTTTTAAGAACATTTCAAAATTATTCTTATATTTAATACTAAGAGTTAAACTTAAATATTCTAATTTAATAGGAAGTAATTGACCTAAATTTTGTAATATAATTGAACTAAGTTCAATAGTACTTGAAAGACCATAACTGTCAAAGATATTAATAGAAAGATGATTAAGATTTTGTTTTAAATTTTCAATTAAATTGAATAATGGATAAATAATTCGACTATTAAATACAGTCAAATCAAGAAATTTGATACTTTTACAACGTCATCTGCAAGAATATCAATAAAAATTAAAAAAATTCATGAATTATTATTAAAGAACAGTGGTATAAAAGTAGAAAAAAGTCACAGAAATTATTACACAAAAGTGAATTAAAAATGATACACCTTTTTAATGTACAATATCAGATCATGCTTTATTTTGTTTATTAATAGACTTATTCTTTCTATTAATAGAAAGTATAAACATTACTATCTTATGAATATGATATTAGTGATTTAATTTAGTTAATTTGATGTATAATGGAACTTTGACCGAACTTTGCAAATACCTGGAAAGAAATATTTATCATTTCAATATTGTATATAATAAACTATTGGTATTTAACATATTTAACATTGTACGATAATTAACTATTGATGAAAATATCGGTCAAATAAAATCAGCATGATCCTACAAGGCCGTGCGATAAAATTAACATGATAAGCTCCAAAACTTGGCAAAAATTAATGAATTAGGTGATTATTTAAACATCTTTAAACATTTATATTTTATTAAAAGTGTTTACTGTAAAATTAATGATCATTATATTATTTAATAATTTGGTTATTAAATGATCTTTGACCGCATGAGGTCTATAAAGTTTATGTTGTATAACGTATTGATACAGTAACTTTTTGAATCGAATGCATATTGCACAGTAATCGACAACTTATTGTCCGCAGCATTAGTTGATACTGTATGAATCTCGGTAAAGTAAATACAGATTTAACGTTCTCTAGTATAAATTAATTTCAATTTTCTATTTTAATTGTATTTTTTAAAAAAGACGTAATATATAGAATGCCGATTTAAAAAATTTTATTTTATAATAATTTAAAATAATAAATATGAACTTTCTCCAGCTGCGCACTCAGCCAACAAATGATCGACATATACAGTATATATTGTACGTAAGATCTAGTTTGTCCAAAACTAAGAACAATTAATATAGATAATTGTATATGGTTCGAGATTTTTTTTTTTTTAAAAAAGATCGATAATATTTTCTACATTAATAATTTAGTTATTATTATGTTTCGGAATATACCGTTACTGCGGTACTGTGTCTAATGAGTAATGATCCTTTTGTTTGGTGATACTAACGGCGCTGTGCAACAAGTACATTGCTGCTATATATATATATTTTATTATTTTCACTTCAATTTGACCGTTTAATCCTACCGTTTTTCATACCTTTTCCAGACAAATTATTATATATTATGCCTGATAATAAGAAAATGCAAGATATCGAAAACACGTATGATTGGATTGAAGAGGCTATCGTTAAAGAACATTTAAAATATTATGAGTACAAACATTTTAATAACTTTCAACAAATTGGTGCTGGAAATTTCGGAAAAGTGTATCGTGCGAATTGGAAAACTTTAGAAAGACCTTTAGCATTAAAGTCTTTTTTTAATCTTGACAACACCACTGTGAAAGAATTTGTTCGTTTGGTAATTTAATATTCGATAATCTTTTTTTATTTTATTTTATTAGTTTATTGTATTTATTTTAAAAAGAAGTGCAAGAATTATTAAGCGAATCTGAATTTATTTATTTAGTTAAAAATCCAACGTGAAGTTGACCTTTATAATAATATTATGCGTTGTCATGGAATAACAAAATTTGAATCAGGTATTGTAAAAATTTTAATTTATATATTAAACTTTACTAATAAAAATACATTTTTAATCATTTTTTTTTTTTTTTTTTTTTTTTTTTTTTTAGAAAGTCATGATAATAATATTAATTATATGTTGGTAATGGAATATGCAGACGGTGGTAGTCTTCGAGACTATTTGATGAATAACTTCGGTAAACTTACATGGAATGATAAATATCTTATGGCGCACCAGCTAGCTTGCGCTGTATCATGCCTGCATAATGAGAGGATTGTTCATCGTAATCTGGTAATAAATTTATTATTGTTTAATCATTGCTGATAATGTTACGTTCGAAATATATTTATTTTTATTCGTTTTTAACAGCATTCTGACAATATATTAGTTCATCATAACATGATTAAATTGGCAGATTTTGGATTATCAAGAAGAATTAAAACATCTAATTTTCAATCCAAAATGATTCCTTACATTGATCCAAAAATCTTTGACAGACAAAGGAATAATAATAACCAAACAACGCAAATGTATTCATTAAATGAAAAAAGCGATGTTTACAGCGTTGGTATATTATTATGGGAAATAACTAGTGGGCGACCTCCTTTTTATGCTAAAGATGATGTTAATTTAACTTTGAAAATTGCACAAGGTCTTAGAGAAGCTTTGATTCCCGATACGCCAGATGATTACATAAAAATTTATACTAGTAAGTAAAATTATAAGTTTAAATCTGAATATAATTTTAATTAGACCTTTAATTATTTTTATTTAGAATGTTGGGATGATGAGCCAAATGTTCGTCCAACCATATTTCAGGTAGTTGATTGGCTGAAAGCGATAGTTACAAAAATTGATGTGACAATAGATCAGCAATTTTCAAGCAATCAAAAACTATATGATAATTCAGAATCACGAGAATTATCCCAATTTATCCGAAACTTTGATAAAATAAATATAAAAGAAATTGATCCTATAGCAGTGTCAGTAGAACAAGAGAAACTTTTATTTGAAAAAGGTTTTAACATAATAGTTGATGAAGTAAATGATTATTTAGTTAAGTTAGCAAATAAAGGAATTGATTGGCAATTATTAAAACTCCAAGTTATTGAATATTTTAATTATCATACTATCGATTTGCAAGAAATTTATAATTGGTTATTAAATAATCAAAATAATTCAAATTCTATTTTTTTACTTGGTTATTTTAATTATTTTGGAATTAAGACAAGTAAAAATATAGAGAAAGCATTTAATTTATTTTTAAATGCATCAGAAAAAGATCATATATCTGCTCATTATTTTGTTGGAAATTGTTATAAATATGGAAATGGAACTAAAAAAAATGAAAAATTAGCTTTTGAATATTGTGAAAAATCTGCTAATAAAAATTTCACAAATGGTCAATTAGATGTTGGTTATTTTTATAAAAATGGAATAGCTATCAATAAAAATATAAAAAAATCCCTTTATTGGTATGAACAAGCTGCAAATAGTGGAAATGTAATAGCTATGCATTATCTTGGTAATTGTTATAAAGATGGAAAAAATGGTGTTAAAAAAGATTATAATAAAGCTTTTGAATTATTTGAGCAGTCAGCTATAGAAGGATATACAAGTGGAATGACTTCATTAGGATATTGTTATGATAATGGCATTGGAACTGAAGAAGATAAACAAAAAGCATTTGAGTTATATCAAAAATCAGCGAATTTAGGAAGTATTTCATCACAATTTAATCTTGGTAATATGTATGAACATGGAGATGGAATTACAAATGATATAGATAAAGCAATTTATTGGTATGAAAAAGCTGCAAAACAAGGAGATAAAGTAGCACAAAATAAATTAGAAAAACTTACAAAAAGTCAATAACCTAGAGTAAATTCTTTCTTTATATGTTAAATTAAATTAAATTTGCTTCATTATTTTTTTTTTTTTGAATTTACAAATAATGAATATAGACTTTAAAATACAATATATAAAGGATCATTCTTGTTGTAAGTATACTATTATCTTTTATTATTAACTGAATATATAGATTTTAAAAGATTTAAAGCTTAAGCTTTTATGTAAAAGGATATTATTGTAATTAAATATTAAAATATAAATTTTAGTAAGAAATTTTATTTATTATTAATTTATTAATTATATTATGTGTAAACCTATAACATCAATGAATTTCTGCATATACAGACCTACAGGCTTACTGCAAGCACTTCATCTGCCGACATATTTTTATCAATACGGAATAAATTTAAATAAATACATTTTATAAACTAGTTAGCGTGGAACTATAGCGTATCACGCAGAAATTTCATCTATAGTGGACATTTACTTCCGAATAACTTAAGAAAATTTTTCGAATAAATTGGAAGTTAAAATAATTCTACCATCCAAAAGTGTTATATTAGGCGAATTATGCATGATTATTAGGCCCGTTTGTTTTTTTCTGGGCATTTTTTTTTGGCCGCGGTTAAGTGGGCATAAAAACATCATGTACATGTATTTACGGCTATAGCCCGAATTGTAATTCTATTCTATTTTATGTGTCGTAAAAAGTCGTGTGACCGCGTGACATTTGGCACCACATTTATTTTTAGAAAATATTTTATATCGCTTTCGTCATATTTTTTACTAAAAAGCTCTGGAGTAAATTTTTCATTACACAACTTTGAATTATTAATGAGGCGTTAGTTCATTTAAAATTATGTGTGTAGATTAATCACTCATTATTCTTCATTCGTTTTTGTTAGGAAGGACAAGATTTTTTTATTCTGTTGATTCAATCCAATTTTCTTTTCTTTTTGCAGTTTCAGTGAAATAGTGGGATTAGGATATAGTTATTTACGTCAATCAGTTTCGTATAAAACCGTAATTTCATTGGAATTTCTTTTTAGCGCCAACTGTTAAACGCATCTTGTTGTTTCAATAACTACGCATAAAAAGCCATTAGAGTCAAACATCGATCCACCAATAAATACGCTTACCAATAATTTACTACACATCAGTTTTATCTATGTCCAGTTTTCCTTTTATTAATATTTCGGAAGACATGATATTTTTGACTCTTTCAGCTTTATTTTTTCTTGCTGGTCCAGTGATATTCACCGAAAAAATGTATGTATATAATTGCTGCGCGTGATTCGAAATTGCCAATGATCTCTTCGCACATGATTCAAAAATTATTTCACTGTCGGAGCTCAACAAGGCCAGGCAAAAAAAATTTTATCAATGATCACGGCAGTCAATGACATGACTACAAGACTTAATACTATCGAAGAAGCCTACCATAATAAAATCAAAGCTTTCCAATAAATGAATGATCATTCAATTATTAAATTAAACATCCAAAAAAAGATAAATTTATCTTTCAAGTCTAAAAATGTTTTATTAAAAATATTTAAAATTAATACCAATCTTTATTTTATCTAATAATTTGGTTAGATCTTTGACTGCATGTAGTTTATTATCATTTGTGATCTCAAACTAACGCAAGAGCACTACAAAGTCTGCGTCGCATAACCTATTGATGATACAGCAACCTTTTGAATAGGGTGTATGTCACACAGTAATCAACAATTTATCTCCCAGAAACAAGCGAAGACACGATAATACAAGATGTCCCGCTCGGTGCTCGCAATATTAGTCGAGAGATGGTGTCATTGAATAATGTGAATAATGATCTTGATATTGTACGGTAAGTATTAATTAATTTCAATTTATTATTTTAATTTGTATTTTTTAAAAAAACGTAATATACAGGATACTAATTTAAAACTTTTTTATGTTATAATAATTTGTAGATATAGATAATTGTTTCGAACTTGTCAAATGATCGACATAGTTTAAAGTAGCTCACGATATTTTCAACGTTAAATTATTATTTTTTGGAATACCGTCGTTACTGCGGTACTGCGGTACTGCGTCTAATGGTCCTTCTGTTTAGTGAAGCGTAAATAGCTAGGCTGTTATTTTGCAATAAAATTTTCCGTTCAATCATATCATTCTTAATACCTTTTTCAGCCAAATTATTATTCATTATGTCTGACAATATCGAAATGCGAGATAAATGAATGGATTAATTGGATTGAAGAAGCTATCGTTAAAGAACATTTGAAATTTTATGAATACAAACAATTTAATAACTTTTAACAAATTGATGACGAAAGTTTTGGAAGACTGTACCATGCAAATTGGAAAAATTCAGAAATATTATTTGCGTTAAAATCTTTTTTTAATCTTGACAACATCACTGTGAAAGTAATTATTCGTGAGGTAATTTAATATACAACAAAAAATTTTTTTTTATTCTGTTTTATATATTTATTTCAAAAATTTGAATTTAATCATTAAGTTAAAAATTCAACGCGAGGTAGATCTTCACGATAATACTATGCTACAAAACTCGTGAGGATTTGGGCCCATTTTTTTCTTCTATATTATTTTTGATGTAATTGTGTATCTGATATATGAAAGATAAGACTGATTATGAAATATTATAGTATTAAGATATTATAAAAAAAAAACTCTAATTTAAGTTAAGAAAATTCTCATGATTTTTTTTTTTTTTTTGCTTTTAAACAATGGTTAAAGAAAACTTGTGGGAATTTTTCTTCCTTTGAACAAATAAATATATTTATAATAAAAATAAATATTATGCTTGGGGTAACATGTTCATAATTTTTTGATCAACATTGACTATACTAAAGGCGTATCGTTGGTGGCAAAATATGATTTCGTTTAAAATAAAGTATTGATTTATCACTATTGATATGATAAAAAATATATACTTGATAGTCTCCATATAAATAATTTGAATTGTGTAACATGAAAACCCGTGCCATGATATTAAAACCCTGTGACATACTTGCGCCTGATCTATTATTTTACGTAATAATTTCTTTCATTCAAACTTATTTTTATTAAACATATACAGTATTTTGCGATCCATCATTACATCCTAAAAAAAAAAATAATAATTATAATTCTACAGAAACTCTTCTCTTGGATATTTTAGTAGAAATAGTAAATTGAATGGTTTCTTATAATCTTTCATGTTTATTATTCGCCATGTTGTTTATTCAATTGAAAATAACTAAATTGACTTTTCATCAATCATGTATTCTTGTTTATATTGATTTTTTAAATAAGATTTAAAAATAACAAGTAACAATCATTGATTTTGTTTATCAAATTAATCAATAATCAAGGATATTATCTATTCATTATTGCCGTTTTCAAAATGGTTGAAATTCGATAATTTATATGAGGTGATGACAAAAACACAAAAAAAACACACAAAAAATTATATCAAAAAAACACACTCAAAAAACACATGTAATGTGTGTCATGTAATACGAGATCACAAAATCTTTTTTTTTTTGCGCTAAAAGCCTTTAAAAGGTTGGAATTGACACCAAAGCCACAAATGATCTGCGATCACGTGACCAAGACAATATTTAATTGACATTCGTTTTTTATTTATTTTTATATAAAATTTACAGGCCATGCACAAAATGAATAATCCAAGTTAATAAAGAATTTGAATATGTTGTTTAGGTTAAATTTTAATTATATTTACCCACACCAACTATAGTTCATTACACTAAATTTCACTTAAATAGCGTTCAAGATAAAAAAGACTAATCAATTAAATAAATTTTATTAAAACAAAATCCCATAATATGACATAACAATAAATAAACAAACTTTGTAGCAACTTATTAAAAATATTTCTCCCTTTTCTTTCTATTCCAAGGCTATAAATATAAGATTTTAATTATTAATTAGTTAATAAACTTTTAAGTAAAAAAATTATATAGATAGAGTATTTCCACATAAATATTTAAAGTAGTGCCATAAAATACCATTTTACTGCTTCCCAAGAGAACTGAGAATACTTTGGTTAGTTTAGTTGTAGTGTGATTCTAGTGTAGTGTCTTTTTTATTCACTGTGATCTAAGTGTGATTCTAGTGTGATTCAAGTGTGATTCAAGTGAGATCTTGGAGTTAAAGAGTAAAAATACCAGTCTATTTTTGACTAAACCTTACAAACTCATAGTATACACACGTGTTTATTGAAATATTAAAAAAAAAAAAATATAGTAGACTATAAAAAAATTTAGACTTTAATTTCGTATATAAAATTTTTTTTTGTGTTACATGATCGACATCGATTTCAACCATTTTGAAAACCGCAATAAGTATGACAATCAAATTTGTTAAACACAAATTGTATTCTCTGAAAATAAAATAAAAATAAAATAAAAAAGTAAAAAAACGTAAATTATTAATCATACTAAATAAGTAAATGGTAGTAATATTTTTCTTTTTTTGGTTTAAGAAGAGGCGTAAAATACATAAATACTACATCTCATTCGTCTCTAGGTCACAAAATTAATGTGGGACAGCATGAAATTTTGATCGACAATTTGCATTTTACTAATTTATCAAATTTATCAAGTGAATGAACTTAAAATAATTCATTCTTTCATTCTTTCTTATTGATGGCCACTTTTCGATATGAATTAATTGGTGCAACAATTAATAGAACAACAACATTAACAGATACTAATATTTACAATGATATACACAACCAATTTGAATTTCAAAAACAAATAGTCCTTGCTGATAAAATTCTTACAAATGATGAAAAAACTTATGCAATAAGATGGATAACTAAAGGTTATGATCGAAATAAAGTTAATTTAAATTCAGGAACAAAAAGAATTTGTGAAAATTGTAAGCAAGAATGTTTAGCCACATTATATTGTGAATATTGTGTTCGAAATTATTTAAAAGAAGATTTTTCAAATTGGACATCTGGAAATGATGTTATTGATAATTTAATACAGAAATGTCAAATGGAATCACTCATGCCGAATAATATAGTTGAATGGATCCCATATAGTAATTTAAGAAATATTAAATATTTAACAAAAGGTGGATTTTCTGAAATTTATACAGCAGATTGGATTAATGGAGAATATGATGAATGGGATTCTGAAAAAAAAGCAATTAAAAGATTTAAAATACCTGGAATACAAAACATCATAGTGACGGAAGTAGTACTTAAAACGTTAGAAAATGTTGAAAGTGCAAATCAAAGTTGGTTTGAAGAGGTTTGTATTATTGTATTCTATATTTCATGAAATTGTTGTAGTTTTTTGTATTAGCACTAGTATTTTTACAAATTATGGTCTTTTAGGCTAAATCACATTTAACTATAAGTAATAAATGGGCGGATGTTGTTCGATGTTTTGGTTTAACACAAAATCCATCAAATGGAAATTATTTTCTCGTAATGATGAAAATGGATATAGATTTAAGAAAATATTTACAACAAAATCATAATCAACTTACATGGAAAAATAGAATTAATATTACTTATGAAATAATTCTTGCACTTTATTATATTCATAAAGAAAAAGCAAATCATAGAGATTTACATTCTGGAAATATATTATATTCACAATCAAATGATCGGTGGTATATCAGTGATCTTGGATTTTGTGGACCTGCTGATAAATCTTCAACAAGTATATATGGAAATCTTCCTTACATAGCACCCGAAGTTATTGTTGGGAGAGAATATACTTTTGCATCTGATATTTATAGTATTGCAATTCTTATGTGGGAAATTTCATCTGGACAAACACCGTTTATAAATTATGAACATGAAAATGATATTGTAATGAATATTATTAACGGTATAAGGCCAAAAATTGTGCCAGGAACTCCATTGGAATATAAAAATTTAATGAAAGAATGTTGGGATGCTGATCCATTAAAAAGACCTGACGCTGATACACTTTGTGATAAAATACAAAAAATTAATGTATATTATCAAAATATGTCAGATGAATTATTCAAATCAGAAATGGATAATTTAGAAATGAATAAAGTAGAAGAAAATTATATGAGTAGCAGATTATCTACAAGTAAAATTCACAACTTTGAAAATCTACCTGAACCAAGAAATGCAACAGAAGGTATAAGTGTATAATATTTATTAATCAATATATTTATTTTAAAATACATTATTAATGTTATCTTTTTATTATAATAGAAGAACAAGAAGGTATAACCATATAATCTACTATTTTTTGATTACTATACTAATTTAGTTTTAAATACTTTATTTTACTGTTAATAGTGTTTCATAGTAAATTGTATGATTTTAACATTCCTAACAATAGTAAGTATTTAATAACATTATAGCGTTGAATTATCGTTTAATATTTGATTTTTTATTTTAGTTGACGACTTTAATAAATCAAATGAGCAGAATAGTAGCAAATTATCAAAAGTAATTACTATTTTTAGAGGTAATATATTTTAATTATTGTCAAATCGAGATTGATTTATATATTAATTCTATATCTTAATTTTTAGATAGTAATAAAGAATTATCTAAATTATTTAAAAAGTTGCAAATAAAGTCAAATAGTAAGTAAATTACTAACAAATAAAGTTACTATATCAATTTCATTTATTAAATGCGACTTTTATTTAAAATTTAGATGACGAAAAAGAAAAAACTCAAAAATATGTCGATGGTAGGTGAAAATTTTACGTAATAACAAACAATTTTAATACTATTTTAATTCTATTTACTTATCTATTACAGATGATGATGATGAAGTATATAATAATCCAAACTTTCATTCAAAAGAACAAGATGAACTGGAAATTCCTGATGGTAAGCTCTTAAAATAAGTAGAAAAAAATAAATTTCTTTATTAAATCAAATAATTAATCTATTTTTATCTTTAGATGGATTTTAAATTGTCTTTTGATAAATCAAATTAACAATATTTTCTTTTTTATATTCTAATTATTATCGCTTATTTATTTATCATGGATTATTTAAACACTAAGACTAGAGTAGTAAATGTTTTACAAAATTCTTAGTTTGTAATTTAAATAATTTTAATAAATTCATTCAAATTATTAAATGTATTGATTTAGGCGAAAATTAAGTATCTTAACGTAAATTTATGTCGTAAACATTATAGAATTATAGAATCATGAACAGATTATTTCATTCGTTATACATGAATTTATTAAAACAAGTTGAAAGAATAATCAACCTCATGAATGTATAACAAGATATTGTGCATACGTTTTATATTAAAAAATTTGTTTTGATTTTTTCTTGTTAATTCCATAAAATTTATTATATATTTGCATGATCAATATATAATAAAATACATAACTCTCATAATGATTAATAAAAATTTTTTTATTGTAAATTACTTCATTGATGCATCAAAATTATTTATCTATAGCATAAAAGTAGGAATTTCAATTTGTTCAAACAGCCAACAGAAGCTGTACTAGTTTTAACTATTTTACTATTTTTAAAAAAATTACATGATCAATCACGTGATTTATATAAACCAATCATTTAATAGAATTTACCCATTAAATACGTAGTCCCAATTACCGATACCGTTCAAGGTTAAATAAATATCAGAAATGTTTCCAAAATCTCAGTGAACATTATAGTAATCATCCACCAGTCAAGCGCAAACAAATGAAAAGATTTGCACATAGTTGTCACCGAATATTTTCCAACACACCCGACAATAAAAAGTCCATTGTTACGTCACAATATGGAAAAGTTTTACGCGCCAGCAGACAATTTTTTATTTGATAGTTCTCACAATGTCGCTAAATGCATTCACCACTGGTCAGCTAAACCGGAAACCAATACTCGCTCTACCTTCTTTACTGCAACGCAAATGAACGTCACTCATGAGGTCGATACCTCTGAGTAGGACTTTTCAATTTCTGATGACTTGCACCGCCCTGAACATTTGGATGCTTCAGATTTTCTCAAACCTCAGACATCTAGACCGGCTTATTACACATATGTCCCAGAGATACACGGGACTATCAAAGAAACGTTAAAATATAATTCGGACAATGCACCTTACTTCGGCACCTCCGTTCACAAATTTCATCGGAGGAGATTACAAATTGATTATTTAGATAGTTACCAAGAGCGTCATCATAACAGAATGACTTCGTGGATTCATCGACGGCACTCTTCTACGAATCCTAAAGTTATCGCCAAAGCTGAAAGAGATTACAGCAAGTTTACTCTATCATTTAAAGATCATGTTAAAGAACAAGCTGGACGACATTATCGCAGTGATCACAGCGATACTTCCGACGATACTAAAACTTTAGAAGCGCGACCGTTAAAGCGCGCCGTTTATAATACTACAAACCTGGATCACAACAGACACCATGCGTTTAACAAGAAAGCTAAACGAACCCTTTCCTCTATAGAAACGGGGAAAGGCATTTTCGACATTCCTTCACCATAACGATCCGTCTCTCAAAACAACCGATTGATTTCGAATAGTGTGAATCAATCCACCTCTGACAGTATTTACAGGTGGCGGCCTTTACAAGGCTGAAAGAATAATACGGCAACTTTTCTTTATTTTCTTTTTCCTTTTTCTTTGGTTGCGTTCCTGGTTACTTAGGTACCGCGATTATGTTATCGACACCAGAGTGGCGCCGTCTTCGGGCGGTTTTATGTGTGTAATAGTTTAGAATTTTTTTTTTATTACTTTTGTATGTTTAAATTAATTCGTCTTACCCATGTGCTCCTTTGGATATAAAAATAAAAATAAAAATAAATACGTAGTCCCAATTTTAACGATATAATAAAATAACTTCTAAAGGCCAACAGCCCAACACTCTATCAATAAATATTTTGAAGGAAACTAGCAAAGTAATGGAAAAAATATTTTTTTTTTTTTATATAAAGGTAACGTACTGTATATACATATATTTTTTTTTTTAGAAAAAAGTTACATTAAACTTTTCAATCTATTTAGTTGTTTTAGGTCTTTTTAATGGTCTTTTTTTTAGAATCCTGTTCTTCATATTTCCCATCAATCCAAATTGTTGTATAAATTCAGAAAAGTAATGTGCTATAATAAACGATTTAAATTGAAATTTAGTTGTATTTATACAATAATAGTATATACATCCAGAGAAACAGGTACGGCAAATGGAGAAATCATACCGGTTAAAGTTTCATATATAAAAAACAATAAAGCACAATGCCGTAAGAACATACCATAACCAAATAAATAACACCTTTCTTAATACGTCATATGTCAAAATAGGTTATTTGTTAATTTAATAAAATTACGTAAGTAGAAATATAATACTTTCATAATATTGAATCATTCAATTACATGCTATTTTTAAACTCCATAAATAGTAGAAATATACAGTAGAATGAATTAAACTATTCTAGTCATAGTTATGATTAATTCTAAAAATAATGAGAATATTTTTAACTATAATGTCGATACCATTGCAAGTATAATTCTGATTTTAATCTAAGAATAAAAAATAAAATCAATAAAAGTTGTCTTTAAATTTTAAAAATAGATAGTAGAAATATGTTTGAATAATTTACCCTCAAAAATTTCTAATTCGTCCTGTTCTTCCGAGTGAAGATTCGGATTATTATATGTATCATCATCATCATCTAAGATAAAACCACAATATCATTAATATTATAATTTTATTTTTATTTTTTTTTAAAAAAAAAATGATAAAATAATTTTTTTCACCATCATTCATACTAGTATTCGTAACGTAATTTTTTCTTATATAATTGAATTCTCCTTTATTGTCAATTTGTATTTCTAAAATTTTTTAAAAAAATTAGAATATTAAAGGGTCCGAATAAAACATTAATTTTATAAATATTATTACCTTTATCTTTACTTAATTTTATTATCCTAAAATTTTCATCTATTGTTTTGAAAGCAATAAAAAATAATTTTTAGTTTCTAATCATCAACGCATACCTAATTTCTATTATTGTTAAAAAAAACAATTTATTACTTTCTAAATTATTCGAGTAAATTCTTTCAGATTCATCCTTTACATTTTTACCTAAATTAAATTATTATTAGATCATATAATTTAATAAATTATACATTAAACATAATATTCTTACCAATTATCACTTTAGAATCATTATTCTCGGGTTGATATCCAGATATATATCTTAAATGAAGTTTTAAGTTATATTTTTAAATAACTTTATTAATTTCTCAAAAAAAAAAAAAAAAAAAAAAAAA